ACTTATAACTCACTAGTGACTTATAGGCCACATTATTTCTTTAAAGCCAAAGAAATTATAGTATCATTATATACAAGTGTTGGATAAAATAATATTCTGTATTATTTATACAATTTAAGTAGGTATACTTACAATTCAGAAATTTATATTTTACTCTAAATAGAGAACATGCATTAATAAGTCTTCTTAAGTTTATTTAATGTTATTTTACTTTCCCTTAGGTATGTCGTAACCTGGCTTGGGAAAATATTTAAGTATGTATGTAAAAAAATATATTATTTCTAAAAATATTTCAAAATAGCAATACCTGAATGTTTTTTCTTCTTAAAAATACTATGTAATTTTCCTGTTTCTTACTAAAATTACACTTGAGGGTCATAAATATACCTCCATACGTCGATAATTGAAAGTTATATTTTGGGTGACTTATATAATTTTACTGTGACGCAAAATAATGAATGGTCTAGTGTAAATAATTTTATATAATAATTTTAACAGTGTAGGCAATTTGCCATTTTCAAAAATCTCTAGATAGGTATTAGGGAAAGTCATATAAAATTAAAGTTTTTTCTCATACATGGGCACTAAATTTTAAAATGTTGAGTCAACTCTGATATTTTTTAATTATGCATAGGTATACTTAAATAATTGCAAAATTAAAAATTGAGACAAACATAGATATTTTAATTCTAAACTAAGAAATTAATAAATAAATGTATCCCCATAGCTTACACAAAAAGAACTTTACCTACCTATAGGTACAAGATGCAAAAATTAAAAAAAAATGAAACTAAGTAGACTTATTACTAAAATCTGGAATATGGGAATAAATTTGAATTGAGTACTACGTTTGTTAGTACTTATAGAAAAAAATTCGTCCCTTGACACTATTTACTTTTTAAAGTAAAAATTACTTATTAACCAGAAAAGATCGTTTCCCAAAAAACGGATTTAATTTTTATATCTTATTTTAGCTCAATTTTTTTCGACTTCCATGCATAGATATTAAATGTTGAAGACGGATTGGCTATTTAGGTATATGCTGCTTAACTGGAATTACTGGAACAATATACAGGGTGTTTGTAAATAAGTGCGAAATATTATAGGGGGTGGTTGCCGAAGTTATTTTGTGAAAAAAAGTTCATATAAACGTAGGTCGAAATATACTTTGTTTCCGAGATCCAGACTGTTTAAATTTTAGTTTTTTATTTATTTTTATTAATTATTTAAAGTTTTAAAGATATTGACTCGAAATTTGAAAAACGCTTTGGAGGGATAAATTTACATTTTTTTGGAGTGATCCGAATATTTTTACTTACACCAGTGGCATTCGTGCGAGAATGCCACAAACTTTTTTAATTAAAAAAATGGTACGCCGCTGACTTCTTCCCGTTTTGATATTTTTTTTGGAAATCCGCCATCAATTTTAAATGAAATTAGTCTCTTCAATTGTGTATTTTTAATTTCTATAACATTATGTAGTAGGTTAGGTACTGTCAATATTTCTAAATTAAATACAATCATGAAATTTCGGGTCAAACACTGAAATAATTAATAAAAATAAATAAAAAATTTAAATTTAAACAATGTATCTCGGAAACGAAGCATATTTCGACGTACGTTTATATGAACTGTTTTTCGCAAAATAACTTCGGCAACCACCCCTAAAATATTTCGCACTTATTATATCTCTATTTCTATTTCTATTTACATCTTTTCAATTCCCTCTACGGATATATCTAAGTACTATATTTCGTACCTACATATTTTTGAAACAAAATGATCGAAAATAGAAAAAAATGGCGAAATTCATATTAAATATGTTAGAAAAACAAAAAAAAAGAAAAAAATATAAAATAAAATGAGAAATTACCTTATCGCACAATGCGCTAAATCTACAATGTTATGGCAGATTTTTATTTGGATTACCCTCAAATTTAATATCCCACAAAATTATACAATAGGTTATAGGTATACGAAATAAAAAGTCAATAAAATAAAATGTAAGCAAGTTTAATTATCAAATTGTGTAGAAGTTAATTACAATTATACTCCGCGGTCGAAATTATAGAGAGTGATTCAGACATAATATAAAAACACTATTACCATAGTGCGTATAAAATATAAAATGATTTTTATACGGTTCAATACACTGAAAGAAATGCGTTTTATTCTTTATTGGAATTCTATATACCATTATAAGACCATTGTATACTATATGTGACAGTTAATCAGGTGAATATTGGATATAAAACGCGTATTGCTAGCACAGTTGTATAGTGACTATAAACCTTATTCTTTATTAAATTATTGTATAACTAGTATACAACGTTTTTTATACCCTTTACGAAATAATAGCAATAACTGTTATTAAAGTGTTCCATATCGTTATTAGAACATCTAGTACTGGTTATAAGTTTTATAATAATAAATGTATTAAACTGTTGTATACTCTGTATGAGTTAAAAACATGTCATTAAGTTTTCAGAAATTTTATTGGATAACTGTAATTACAAGCTAAGGTTCTAATGTAAACATACATAAAACATACTTTTAAGCACTAAAAATGATGACAAATCGCTCCCAAAACTGTCCAGTTTATTTTCTTAGCAACGATGCACCCGTATTTTCTTGTATTACATGAGAATTTGCACTATAACTCTTCCACCTTAAGAATGAAGCATCCCCAGAAAGGTTGAGCTTCTTTCCATATAATTTTATTTCCTCTGGTTGATTGACTTTATACCCATGCTTT